TTTTTTTTTTTTTTTTTTTTGAAAGTTGATCTTGCTTTTGTTTCCCGCCTGCTACTTGTCCGCTTCACTCTCTCCTCTCTTCTCTCTTCCCCTCTCTTTCTCTCCATTGCAATCTTTTCTGTGTGCTGACAAGTTAAACAAGTGGTTTGGCGTGCTGTCAAAGGCCTTCTGGTGCTCTTGGTTTGTCGGGCGCGTGTTTTGAAAAGAGGGAGGGGGGGGGAGATTGAATCCTGGGCGCAATTTGATTCTTCCCCCTCCCTTCTCCGTGCTGATAAATTAACCATATATATATATCGTCAAACCGAACATATATATATATATTTTTTACACTGCTGTCGTCGATACCTTGTAGTCTAGGTTGGTCCGGTGGGGGTTATGAGAAGAGGGAGGGAGAGTGAAGCCTTGACGCAATTTGATTCTACCTTTTCCCACCTACTCCTTCCTATCTTGTCGTGCGGACGAATGAACACTTGGTTTCCTTCTTCATACGCTCTTTGTTACCCCACTCTCCCCCTCTCTCTTCTTACCCTCTTCTTGCTTGCTAACTCGCGTCCCCATCGTTCTCTTCTCCTCCTCACGGTGCGATTGCCATTTCTCGATTTCCCTTCCTCCCTCCCTCCCTCCCTCCCTTCCTCCTTCCCTCTCTCGATCCCTCTCTCCGTCACTCCCTCTCTCGCTTACGATGTCGCTCCCTTTATTCTCTCCTCTCGTCCTCCCCCATCCTCCCCCATCCTCCCCCATTCTCCCCCATTCTCCCCTTCTCTCCCCTCATCCTCCCCCGTCCCTGTTCCCTGTTACACTCTTCCCCACCTCGTCGACCCGCGTCGCTTCCTCCCAACCCCTTTTGACCTCACCACCCTCCCCGCGGGTCCCTGATGCTCTCCCCTCCCCTCCCGCCCCCCCCTATCCGTTCGTTCCTCTCGTGCCCGATGTTTCCATCTGTCTGGTTCGCAGTCAATCCCCTTGCCGTCGCCTCTCTCTCTCACACCTAGGGGCTTTATCTCTCCTGCTGTTCTTCCGTTTACGCTTTCGTTCTCTCCCTTTCCCCCGCCCTCACTCGCTTTCCCTCTCCCTCACCCCCTCTCTCTCTCCTGCTGCGCGGGTCCTTCCCCCCCCCATCGATTTTGCTCCCCTATTTTATCCTCCTTTCTCTCCTTTACCCCCTGTTGCGCGGGTCCTCACCCCCTCTGTCTCTCCTGCCGCGCGGGTCCTTCCCCTCCCCATCGATTTTGCTCCCCTATTTTATCCTCCTTCCTCTCCTTTACCCCCTGTTGCGCGGGTCCTCCTCAACCCCTCTGTCTCTTGCGCGGGTTCTTCCCCCCCCCAGTTGCGCGGGTCCTCCTCACCCCCTCTGTCTCTCCTGTTGCGCGGGTCCTTCCCCCCCCATCGATTTTGCTCCCCTATTTTATCCTCCTTTCTCTCCTTTCCCCCTCCCTCCATTCCCTACCCTCATCCACCCTTTCTGAACCTGTTTTTTTTTATTTTTTCAAGTCGTGTCATCCTTGCACAGGGGCCATGCTAATTACCCTTCTCTGTACCGTTCCAATTTTTACGGATGTCCCGGAGGACACGCTTTCTGATTCTGCTTCTCTCTCTTGCCGTGCTTTTGGACTCGTTCGGCCGTATCCCCCTCTTTTGTTGCCATTTCCTGCTTATATAAACACATCCCTTCTTTTCTCGCCCTACCTTTCTGGCCCGTCGATCTCTCTCTCTCTCTCTCTCTAATCTC